CAGCTCTGCATCATTTTTTTGACGGCTGCCCTCTGGTGGTGCAGTGGTTAAGCGCATGGCTGCTAACGGAGAAGTTGGTGGTTCGAACACACCAGTGGCTCCATGGAAGAAAAGACCTGGGCGTCTGTGCTTGTAAAGATCTCAGCCTAGGAAACTCTATGAGGTAGTTCTACTCTGTCCTACAGGGTCGCTATGAGTCGGAATTGACTCGAGAAGTGTTCCATTGTTGAGGCTAAGCTTATTATTACAAACAACGTTGCAATGAACATCCTTACTCACTGATATAGTGGGAGTAGGGAGGGGGAGGAAAAAGTACCATTAGAGCCCTCCTACCCCTATTTGATGGCCTGCCCACAGGACTGCCTTCAAGAGCTACTTCCTCCTGCCACCCCTCTTCCCAGACTCCCAGGTCATCCATACTGTGTGTTTGCCCACCTCCATGCTTTGTCCTCCATCTCACAATCGGCCCTGCCCTGGGAAGAAACTTCCTACAATTTTCAGCAGGAAAATACTTTATCTAGAGAACAACAGTTACTGTTTATTGAGCCCTTACTGGGTGCCATCCAGGACATGGTGTTTTATGTGCATTATCTCATGTAATCTTCTCAACAACCTATTAGCTAGGTTCCATTATTATTCTCATAGATAAAAAAAATTGTGGTTCAAGGAATTGGAGTAACTTTCCAAGGGGATATGACTAATGGAAGCAGCCCTATAATTCAACAGCAGTAAGACTGTCATTCTCTCGGGTGCCTTCTCTTGTTCATCTCCATTTTCCGAGGAGTCTAGTAGTGAAATCCCCATCACTGGAGGTACTCAAGTAGAGGCCTGAGGAAATAAAAGCAATGTAGGATTAGTCAGACTAATGGTCTCAGGGTCCACTTCCAGCCTTGAAATGGCAGGATTCTTTTTTCTCCCCCAACGTATGCTTAATTTCTACCAGAGAAGGTAGATTTCTTGCATGTAAACTTCCCTTTATTAGAAATTCAGATGGTGGAGCAGTGTCTTTCTCCTCACAAGCTCCTCAATAATGTCATCACTCCCCCCTGCACCCACCAAGAGAAACATCTCACTAACGAGGTACAGGAGTCCAGTGCCAAGGGCCAGAAGGCAGAAGGGGACAAGGAAGCTGGTGATAGGGAACCCAAGGTTGAGTAAGGATATTGTTGATGTGTTGTGAGATTGTTAATCAT